ATTACGTACTACACTATATATATATATATATATATATATATATATATATATATATATATATATATATATGGGATATTCTAAACTGCGCAACCCTTCAAATTACAAAGGCTCAAGTTAGAGAGAGTTGTGAAAGGTGGATTTATTAATTTTGTACTCTAGTTTTTTAAGAAAGTTACTTTTGTGGGGCAATTTTGCAAATATTACTACAAGACAAAGGGTACGTTTGTCATCTCCATAAGGGGTAAATTGAAATTTCAACTAAAGGACGAGGGCACTCTACAAATAAAGTTCCAGGATACTAACTTACAAAATGCCATTGTACTTTATTGAAAATTTCAAATTTGCCTTTGCTTGATGATAAAGTTACCTATTTAAATAATTTTTTAATAAAAAATAATGATTGTTTTGATAAATACACCCATCACAACCCCTTCTAACTTGAACCTTTGTATTTTGAGGGGTTGTTAACTCCACACACACACACGCACACACACACGCACGCGCGCACGCACGCACGCACACACACACAATGTAACAAAAATCCTATAGAAACACACACAATGTAACAAAAATCCTATAGAAAAGAGTGTTTTGAAGTCGGAAACAATGTAACAAAAATCCTATAGAAAAGAGTGTTTTGAAGTTGGAAACCTTTCTTATTGATCAGCTTGACTATATGATGTACAAAAATCCTATAGAAAAGAGTGTTTTGAAGTTTGAAACCTTTCTTATTGATCAGCTTGACTATATGATGTACAAAAATCCTATAGAAAAGAGTGTTTTGAAGTTGGAAACCTTTCTTATTGATCAGCTTGACTAGTCCTAAAAATAATTCATCTTGTAACAAGTTAAATAGACCGTCTATTTTAAAGATTTTGAAGTGTTTATAGATATGCTCAATCTGCACAATTTTTGGAATTTTAAAGTTCATAATTAGGTTCAAATATGGATTTCAAGCCACTGTAAAGTTTGTGACATCGAAGGTACACCTTCCGGAAAAATTTAGAGGTACGCCTTAGTTGTATGGTATAAGGTGGGCGGCTTGTACAAACCTCACAAGCGTTATTTACACATGCACAATGAGAACTCTATAGATTGAAAGTCCCATAAAAATTTGAGAAAATGAGATTGAGGGCTATGGTAACCAAACTTAGGAATCGTCCGAGTCCCTATTCGAATGCAGAAAACTGCAGATGGTCATAATTGGTTTGATTGTTGTGATTGCTCTACTTGTGTTCAAAGAGATGATGATTTTGAAAAGAAACAAAAAAGACACAAAAAGAAAACTTGATCTCAGCAAAAGCTTCATCAAAGATTTCTTGATGGAGATCCAACAGTTGGTTTACTTGGTGAACCGTCTGGAAGATGGGATTATTATGTTACTTATGGCAGTCAAAAACCCAGACCTTCTGAACCTAATATCCCTACTGGATGGGATGACAAGAAAGATGCTTTTGATAATACTGATAAAACTCCTGGATGTATGGCTTTTGACCCTCATGGTTCTAATTATGCTAATAATTTTCCTTCTTTGCATGATTATGAAAAAATTCAAGATCATGACAAGCATGTGCGTAAAATTAAAAACCCCAGTACCAAAGACTCATTTGGCACATTAAAGGCAATTTCTCCAGCTGAAGAAAATCAAAAATACTATGTCCTCCTAGTTACAAGGGTTAGTTGGCATAATTGTTCAGTTAAAAGAAAAGGTACAGTCATTGCATGAGGAGTTACTTCAGATTCTTCATTCTGTTAAAGATATTCATACACATCGTATTTGCTGACACAGAAAGGAAAGGACAAAGCATTCTTGGAAAAACAACTGCAAAGTCTCGAGAAAGATCTATGGATGAAATCTCAGTATTCTCAACCTTACTCTCAATTTCAACCGTTGACAAGAAACCCTTATATCCCAAGTTACCCAACCTTGCGATACCCTGATCCTTTCCCCCCAACAAGAACACTTTATCCTCCTTCAGGTTTGATACCTCCAAGAACTTTTGGTTTTCAATCTTTAAGTTCTTTTGATGATGAAAGACGTTTCCTAGAAGAAATGTTCTTTCCTCAACTTAGGAAAAAACCAAACATTCCTTTTTCGAGTACCTCCCAGATACCTGAACCTAATCCTCCGGGTGTTCCTCAACCTTCTATTTGTACTCAACTTATGTCTACACCACCATGGGCTATACCACCTGTTATTCCTTCTAAAAATGAAACTCAAATGTTTCAGCCATCTGATACTGATTCAGATGTCATTGCATCTTCTAAACCACAGAGTCTTACTTCCCCTGAACCTTTCCAAGACATGAGTACCTTCTTGAAAAACTTAGCTAAACAATCTGAGCTAAATCTCAGGACAGAAACACAGTCTTCTGATTCTTTGTCAGAATCCTCAGACTCTCCTAATTCCTTAACCTCTACATCATCACTTACTCCAAACCCATTGTTCATGATGAACCCACCAGATCAACCTCTTGAGCCAGACCCAGATCCATTTATGGATGAAGAACCTAGACCTCATTACCCTCCCTTATCTCCAACTTATGGAGATTCATCCAAAGGATTTACTATTGATGACATCCCTCTTTCAAAATGGAATGACAGATTTCGGGAAATGCAAGGATGGATGCATGCAGAAATGCTTAATCCAGCAAACACATTGGCAAGTACAATTGCAAAAGTCTTAGTACGACTCAGAGGACGTCTATTTGACTGGTATTTAAGTCTTGGTGAATATCGCCAGACATAGTTAAGAGGTTCTCAATCCATTGTTGAATTCCTGAATTACTTGGTAGCTGAATTTACAGGTCCGATTAAACATGAACAGATTACAGCTCGTGAAGAATTCTTCCAGCTTAAATGTTGTTTATTTAAAAGGCAAGACCTAGAAAAACACTTTTGTGAAATGAACAAGTGCTATCACAAAATAGGCGGAATTGATGATGTAAATCTCAAACAATTTTATCTTGAATCTATTCCTCCTAATCTTGGAAAGGAAGCAGCAAAAAAACAATGGAAAATCAAGGAT